TTTGTAGAATAGTGCTATGGAGACAGAATCTTTATTTCATACAATTTTTTCGGAAGTTGCAATAGATAGAAGTATAATGATAAAGAAAGAAATTTTCTGTATTTCGAATGAGTTTTTTATGCCACTGGTATTTTTAATCCATTAAATCTTTCCATAGCTCTAATCTATATTACGTATACTATCTTGCATACTAATTTGGTGTCTATATCTTTGAAAATGGAGGAGTAATGTTTTGAAAACAGCATGTTTTATTAGCGTTTTATTAGTATTATGAACTTTCAATCACTAAGGCTTCTGGAAAATTGTTACATTTATAAAATTATTAGAGGTTTTTGATCAGGATACATTTGTAGAACAGTGCTATGGAGACAGAATCTTTATTTCATACAATTTTTTCAGAAGTTGCAATAGATAGAAGTATAACGATAAAGAAAGAAATTTTCTGTATTTCGAAAGAGTTTTTATGCCACTGGTATTTTTAATCCATTAAATCTTTTCATAGCTCTAATCTATATTACGTATACTATCTTGCACACTAATTTGGTGTCTATATCTTTGAAAACAGAGGAGGAGCAGTGTTTTGAAAACAATATGTTTACTATGTTCATTATGTAAATTTCGGAAATTCTGTATATGATATGCAGATCACGAAAAAAAATCACATATAACCAATCAATATATGACATTAATTAGTTTTGATTTTCTTAGAATGTCACATGCCCCAATAAATTGTATATTAATATTAAATTTTTTTTTTAAAAAAAAATTTGTGTAATTTTAAAATTTATCCCCTAAATAATTTACCCAAAATGGAACTGACATAAAAATATTCGAAATATTTATATTTAATTTTACCCATTTTCTAGCATAACTATTTTTTTCTTTACCCTACGAAAGTCATGACCTTTTAAACCATATATATTAATTTACCCAAAATTTTCTCTGACCTTTTGTTTTTTTACATATTGATTTACCCAAAAATAATGTAACCTATCTATGTAGTTTCCAGGGCCTGATAATACATTACTAAAAATAGTAAAAATTATCTCTCAAGATTTATGAAAATCACATGAATTGACTTATTGAGAGTCATTTATTATTATCTGGCTGGTGGAGTTGTCTGACTTACAGCTTAACAAGAGTTTATATATGTGTCTGACTTATCAAGAATTTTTTAAATATAAAAAAAAAGGGCTGGAAATTTTTGTCCAAATCTGACTTATCAAGTGTCTGACTTATTGAGTTTACCTATGTAGTGTTTTTTTTTGTCAATTTTCCCTCACTGATCACTATTACTTATTAGTTGAATGATTTGTCACATTAAACTATTGGGAAGTGTATTTTCTGAAATTTTTTGGTGATCAATGTTGAAATTCTATTAATAAAATTAGCCACAAACCTTAATTTTAAACCTTTTTTGCTCACCAATCTCCACCAAATTTGAGTCACAGATTTTTCAAGACTTTTTCCTTCTTTTAGAAAAAAATTAGGAGAGGTTATTAATAAAATAGAAAAAATCTTGGTGCTAAAGTTTATCAATCAAATTACTGCATTTGGAAATTAATTATCTATTTTTGGTTATGACTCCTGATAATCCCCTGCCCACAATTTTTTCCTTTTTGTGTATTGATAAATAAATTTATCAAAATTTAGTATGTTTTTTGGAGTTTTTTGCCATTTTCACTAAACTTTAATAAACAACAATCCACATAAAGCTATACCTAAATGAAAACTTACAATATTTTACATCTCTTCAACCACTCATCAAGTTTGTAAAGGTAATATTGGTAAAAAATCTTAGCTTTGAAGTAAAAAGTAATGCTGTTTTTGAATAAATATAGCTTGACATAGAGAGCCTCTATAAATATGGGAGAGGGCTCATTAGAAGGCTATAATGACATAGTTTTATCTTTGATTAATAATGATGTTTGAATTTGTTATAAAAATAATGAGATATTTTAAAAAAATGATTTGTTACATGAGTCAGATTTTCTATTTTATATATGTAATTACACCTCCTGTGACATATCATTTGACTGATTCATAGATGGATTGTCAATTAATTCTTAATATTAATGATAAAGATATTCGAGTACATTTAAAAAATTGAACTTTAATACTATCAAATATAAAATTATTTATTACTATATATGCCAATCTGTTTTTGGTTTTTGAGCATAGTGGAAATTTGAAATGTTACACTAATTTTTTATATTGTGCAACGTAGCTTTACAATACATGGCAAAAATTCTGGCAATAAAAAGTAAGTGATAAACTGGATTTGAATTTGATCCGAACTTGAACTCCAATTTAGAGAGGTAACAACTATACACTGGTGAAGTTTCAGAAGCAATGAGTTCTGTACAACATTTCGTGTAACAACAAACTTCCACTATGCTGGTGTTTTGTATAAATAAAAGTTTTAAAACACTCCTTTAACATTTTATTTTTAAACATTGTTGTATACATCTTTTTTTTTTTCCCAAGTTGAATTTTATTTTTATTAAAGTATAATTGTGTAAAATATAATAATAAAATACAATTAAATAAAAAAATAAAACTACTGCCCCTGCTACTATTAATCAAAAAAAAATTTGGAGTGCATGGGATCAACTTGCCATTTAGTAACTCAAAAATCGAACCAGCTAGGCCTACTTAAAGTTAATGCCTATGTAAGGCTCTGAATGAATCAATGAAATTCGAAGCAATTCAAATCAAATCAAATCACTTAATTTTTGATTCATTTCATTCAAATCAAATTCGAATCAAATCTGAATTGTACTTTGATTTGATTCGAATGGATTCGAATCCAGATTGATTTGATTTGATTCGAACTGATTCAAATATATAATTTGATTCAAACAGATTCGAATATATAATTTGATTTGAACTGATTTGATTTGATTCAAACTGACTGTTTGAATCTATCATAAATAACTGATTTGAATCCATGATTTGAATCAAATTCACTATATATAATAAATGAAAAATCTTTATTTTAATGTATATTTTTTATTTCATATTTATTTATATAGTATAAATATTAAAAAAATTTTTACCTGAAGCATCAGTAATATTAGTACTTATTATTTTAGATTTAATGAATTGTACAATTGTAAATCGTTACTTTTTTACTCATTATTAATAGTCACACAACCATATTAATATTAATATCAAGAAATCCGTTATTATTAAAAATTCGAATAAATATCATATCAAGAAGAATTTTATTATCATTAAACCATTCTTAGACTTCAATCATTAGTATTCATTAAATGGAAGCACACCAATTGAGATTCACTGTATAATATAAATTTAAATTATCAAATTAAAAATATAAATTTAATATGACGTTAAAAAAAATTTAGGAATCCAGTTTGATTCGAATCAATTCGAATCGAATCCTGTTTTTTTGAATTCGAATCGATTCGTTCGGAGTCTTATTCATGTATTTATATTCATGCCACCAATTTATTATTTATAGAAAATGTCAGATATATATATACAATATTATATAATGGTTGATAATTCATGGTCAAAGGTAAAATGTTGATCTGATTAAGTCAACGAAAAGTTAAAAACTAAATAATATATTAGATTATATAATGAAAAACCAAGCCTATGTATTAAAAACATTCAATAAAGAAATACTATATTAGCTTTTTTATTTATTATAAACATTTTATTTTTATCAATTCGAAACTAAATTTCCTTCCCTCAGATATTATTATTATTAAAATATTTTGTTTTTCAAATTTGCGTAACGATCTTCAAGCAATAAAATTTAATTTTTGCATGATATCTGGAAGGGAGATCGTCACAAAATTTGGACTGCCCCAATTAAAAATTAAGGCTGCAACATGTACATTGCGGACGTAACTTGATTATAATGTAGAATCCACCATGGAAAACATATTTTGTTCATGGATGTTAGCCGAAATTGGTTTTGCATTTCGGCAGGCGGTATTTCGGATTCTTTATCCAATTAATTCCGAACATAATTTCGAAATACAATATTAAAATTAATTTGGCTACTATGAAAATCGTTTATTAAGAAGTTTTATCTATGTGAAATGAAAATTGAATTTATTAAGGAGGATGGGATTAGCCCAGCTTCAGGGCTTATAGGTGGAGGAACATCGCAGAAGCTCGTTTGAAATAGAGGTCGTAATTTTTATATAATGTTTATTTGCTTAGATTCTGGATACCAGACTAAAATCAAGGATATGATTGAATGGAATATTGTATTCCAGGGAATTGAGTTCAACGTAGTAGTAGGATTATATTGCATGAGAATGTGCGGGTGATATCTTCAGGGAGTTGATTGTAATATAAAAATTTAAGTTGGTGGAGGTAAAAGGATAATAAATTTTCATATTGATAAACAAAATTTTATTGAATCTAATCAACCTACTTTTTGATATTAATTTATTACCATTTACCATTCAATTTTGACTCTTTCAAAGGAAACTTTCAATGATTCATTCACAATTATTATTAAAGTCTAATATTTATGTTCTGGATTAGTACAACTATAACAATAACCATGACAGAGATTCAAAATAATAAACAGCCAAGTAGAAATCCCTTACAGTGGTAACAGCAGTAAGTGCAAAATAATTTCTGTGCAATACAAAATTGGCTTTACTACACGAAAGGAATAATAAACTCGGTACCAACATCAAAACGGCTTAGGATCATGATCTAGGATTATTACATTATCAGAACAAATGGATGAGTATTTTACTTGAGAAAGAATACTTGACTGAACTGAGAATATTTGATTTTGAAATGTACTCAGAATTTTGGAGAATAATACCAGAGGAGGGTTTGGGTATGTTATTAAGGATTATCCTGGGCTAGCATTATGGCTTGACTCGGAAACTTT